TGTGTGTGTGTGTGTGTGTGTGTGTGTGTGTGTGTGTGTGTACAACCCAAGGTAAATAAATCAGCATGGGAAGAATGTGGACATTCTATTAAGGTGAGGCTCAGCTACTTACTCTTGTAGTTAGTTACAGAGTAGCCAGCAATTGTGATAGCAGAGGGACATAAAATCTAAAAACAGCAGAGTATATGATGTTCTGTGTAATGTGGGGGTTATGTGTGAGAGTTTACACTCACTTATGCTACACCAGAAGCCTGTTCTCAAGATTGAATTCAGGCATGGTGGGCTTTCAGAGCAATAGATTGGTGACTAGAAGAAAGGAAATAAAGTCTACTCCTGGAAAATGCTACTGAGAACATTGGTTTTCTAAGCCGGCTTCCTGCATCTGAGAATTTTCTAGAAATTTAACTAATGAGATACCTCCTCAGGCTACCTGAGTTTCGCTTGGGCCTTGGGGCCCAGCAATCTATATTTTAACCACCCTCTCCTCTCAGAGAGTCTGATAGGCTAAGGGAGCATTACTGACTAGAAAGGCAAATTTGATCCACACTGCAGACCAGAGACCTCCAAGGGAAGGTGTGTGCTTGGGGCCCTGTTCATGTGGTAGGTGCTGGCTCTTGGTGGCTGTTTGTCCTGGTAAGAAGTGGATTTATCTAGTTAAATGTTCCTTCCCCAAGGCGAGCTTTCTATTTTATGAACAAAGATAAGATTGATGAATATCTTTTTTCTGTATAGTAATAGTTTACAGACTTTTGATTTTTGTGTGTGTTGGTAGTGGGTGGGTGTGTGTGTGGGGGTGGATGTTCAGGTTTGTGGGTGCAATTGTCCCCTTCAGGTGTGTATAGGGATGAGAGAACCACATTGTCGTCCTCAATTTGCTTCTTGACTTTTATTATTAGTATTATGGTATAATACTATTAATAGTATTAATAATACATATTATTGTAATTAATAGGAGGAAGGTGATTTGTTTATGCTGGCTGGCCAGTGAGCTGAGAAAGATCTGTCTCTGCCACCCAGATGTGCCTCTCTGTACTCGACTATTATCTGGGTACTAGGGATTCGAACTCAGGTCCTCATGCTTGCACAGCAAGCACTTTGCCCACTGAAGCATCTGCCAGCCCTGTGCTTTGTGTGTTGGTATCTTGACTGTAGTCTTCTTACAGCTAGCCTTTTATAAAGGGCTCATGACATATACTTATTGTTGGAGATACCAAATGGGAATTATTGTACTTTTAGCATCTTGAAGTATTTTCTGTACTTTGGGAATCTTTGGGAACACCCTGGAAGTTGTAAAATAAGGCTTAATTGTCGTTGGGATAGCCACTTAAGGATAGCTCTGTTGTGTGTTGGGGTCTTTCTAAGACCGGGTCTCTCGCCATCATCAGGCCTCAAATTTCTTGTAAATTCTAGGGATTTTTTAGTACATCACTCTGACCATCTGAAGAACATCTCCCTCAAACTGGCTTGAAACTGGTACAGGCACAATAAAGTGATAGCCATAAATCAGCAGGTGTTGATAATTAAATAAAGTAAAACAGGGAAGGTGAATATATAAGAGAAGTTTTGTGTTTTCTGGGTTCTGGGGAGTAACAGATAAGAAATCCCGGCATACAGGTTATCTTTGTGTGTGTGGACAGAAAACAAAAGAGAGAGAGAGAGAGACAGAGAGAGAGAGAGAGAGAGAGAGAGAGAGAGAGAGAGAGAGAGAATGAGAGAGAGAGAATGAGAGAGAGATGTGTGGAAGGATGCCTGTGGGGATCAAAAGATAACTTTGCAGATCAGCTTTCTCCTTCCACCCGTATGTGGGTACCGGGTGCTTAGACTTACACAGCATGTACTTTACTGGCTGAGCCATCTGACTGTCCCCACCCCAATTTTTCAAGAGTGAATACTTGACTAATTTTGAGCCTTTGGGTTAGAAACACTCGAGGATCTTGGCACTGTCAGTAGACAGTCTGCATCAGGCACCCTTTTCACTACATAGCTTGCTGGAGGAGCCAGTTTCTCAAGGTAAAGACTGTGTAGTATGCACAGGGACTTGCAGTCAGGAAACTGAACATTTAATTTAGACTTTGTCTAAGAATCTATCTTTTTGTGTGACCATTGAATTTTCTAGGCTTCACTCTTTAGTTTTGAAGTGTTGGTTTATTTTATTTGTCATGCTTTAGGTGAATAATCATTGTTTTATCTACACTAGAAGAAAATATTTTACCCACATAGTAGAAATGGGAATATGAATGGGCTGTAAACTTAACATTTTCTTCAGAGTTGTTTTGGTTTGCATTTCCCTGATGGCTAAGGATGTTGAGCACTTTCTTGTGTGTCTTTCAGCCATTTTAGATTCCTCTATTAAGAATTCTCTATTTAGTTCTGTACCCCACTTTTTAATTGGATTATTTGGTGTTTTGTTGACTAGTTTTGAGTTCTTTGTATATTTTGGAAATCAGCCCTCTGTCAGATGTAGGGTTGGTGAATATCTTTTCCCATTCTTCGGGCTGCCGAAATTAACATTTTCTTGATAGGTTTTCATTTGTGGGAACAAATAAAATAGTATTCTCTCTGAAAATAGTAGTATTATTATATTAATCCTAATAATCTCTCAGAAGATCTGTCAAAAGTCTGAAAGATATGACAGCTTTAATTGTTTTGAGTTGATTATTGGAAAGATCATCTTTAAAGTTAGAACACCGGTTTCTTTGTGTTTCTGTATTATTTCATCTGGGCTCTGTTTGACAGGAACATTTATCAAAATAGGCTGCTTAGTGTTTGGACTTAAATATGAGCTGGTGCATTACCTAGTGCTTGCATTTTCACTCTGTTTTGCTGCTTTTGTTTGCTTGTTTGTTTTTAATGAAAAAGTATAGTGCCATTAAATCTGAGCTATTTCTTTGCAGTGACCCATACGTGAAGCTGTCATTGTATGTAGCAGATGAGAATAGAGAACTTGCTCTGGTTCAGACAAAGACAATTAAAAAGGTAGGTTGGCCAACTTTTATGAAATTCATCTAATTTGTAATTTAACCCAATTATATTTTATATTTCGGCTTTGTAGAAGTTTATGTTTTAAGAATAAGATAGCAATATTTTTAAGTATTACGTCTAAAACTTGCCCATGCCCCAAAACTTTTCCATGTTTTACTTGAGTTATGTGTATAGAGGTATGTTTTTTCCTTATAACACATATAACCAAACAAATAAATTATTCTGGTTACTTAATGATTTAAAGTTTATTTAATGAAACGGATGTTGGACTTGGCAGGCAAAAGAGGAATGGTTTGATTTGTGAAGTTACTGGTACCCGAGGAAGCAAAATGCTTAGTCACATGAAAATATACGGAATGTATTCGCAATAAAGTTATACATGTATACATGTGTCTTTTCCTGTTGTTTGTGTGTGTTGTGTTTATTCATGTGAAGGGAGAAATAAGCATATATATGTGGAGGCCAGAAGCAAAAATCAAGTGTCTTCTTTAATCATTCATCCCCTGTATTTTGAGGCAAGGTTTGTCACCAAACTGAATCTTGATGACTTAAGTAAATGTGTAAGTCAGTTGGCCCCAAGATCCCCGGCCTCTGCCTCTGCCTCTGCCTCTGCCTCTGCCTCTGCCTCTGCCTCTGCCTCTGCCTCTGCCTCTGCCTCTGCCTCTGCCTCTGCC